GAGCAACGCCTCTGAGGACGCCGGCAGCGGGACAGCCGCGGTGTGTCTGGGATGTCCCGCTGCCCGCGTGCTCCGTGGCTTTGCTCCGCGTCTCCCTGGTCTGCTGGGGGGGACTCCCCCCCCCAGCAGACCAGGGAGACGCGGAGCAGCTTTTCTCGCCCCGGAGGACGTGGGCATCTGGGTGTCCCGCCGCTCCCATCCTCGGGGGCGAGAAAAACCCCGTTCGTAACTGCGGATCCGACATAAGTCGGATCCGCGTAACTCGGGGACTGCCTGTAGTTAAAATTGTAGCTATTTTACTGAAGATTAAGTAATATTATTTATCCACAGTGGGGTACGAGACATAGCCCTTAAGCCTCATATGTGCAGAAGTGACTCAGATCAAGACTCCACCAGATTTGGAATAAAACATTTAGTTTTTTTCAATAGAGGGATGTAACATCCACTTAAAATACTGGATATAGGACTAATTATAAGTACTGTTATCTTAGTCTTGTAATACAGTTGATTAGTTCAACAAAGCTACAGTCTCATTATTTGTGGTTAGCAGTAAAATCAAGTTTTGGGGAAAAAGGAATGGTATACAAAACATAGCTATGTTAAATGATTTGATGCATCATCTACATGACAAAAAAGTCAGCTAGGAGTAATGTATTGAAGCTAGCAGATATACATGCAGTTTATAAAAAACCATAATATTTTGTTGTGAACTAATGCTTAAATGGGATCACTAATTTAAAAGCAACGAGTGTTTCGCTGACTTATTACACAAAATTCTCTCTAGCAATGATGGGCAGATACCATCTTCATGATCAAGGCTACATACATTGATAAATAGAGGTTTGCTACAATACAAACGTCAACATCTATTTGTTCATTACTGAAGAAAAATATTATTTGAATATTCTTATTCATATATATTAGCTACCTTTTTTTTTAGTGAAATTCAAACCTAATTATAAGTGATACCCCAAATTGAAAAGAGAATCTCTCTGCTAGCCAGAATTGTTCTTAGTAAAACTTACTCATTTAACTGTCCAGTATCATAGATACCAAATTTTAACTAGAAATCTTTCTTCCATTTAGTTTCAAAATGCCCATACTAGTAGTTTTATGTGTAATCAGAAATCACTAGTTCACAGCAAAAGATATTAATGTTTGAAATGCTTAACTGTCCAGACTCTGACCAACTATTCTGACTCAATATGTCTAGTACATCACAACATCCCCTTGCTGAAAAGAAAACAAAATGTTTCCAGAACATTCTCAGAGGATTTTCCATTTGTGTACTACAGTAAATATATTAGCTATGAGATAATAATAGCCATCTGTACAACAGCTCATATTGTACTTATTAATAGGCAATTCTTTAGTATTGTTCATATTCACAAGAGGTTTATGAACTTTAAGACTTGTTTATATGAGGAATTATTCTGGAATAGCTATTCCTGAGTAACCTCCTGTGTGGACACATTAAAGAATTCACACAGGGAGCGAATCAAATTACTCCATGTAATATTAATAAAACCCTACTTTAATATGAATTAAGTTCCCTATGCCTAACTTCAGACACATTAATGAGGCCTGATTTTCCAAAGATGGATACACAACACTTTTTGAAAATCAAGCCCCATAAAAAGATCTCAAATTAGGCCCTCAAAATTTGAAAGAAAAAAAAGAAATGCAAAATGGGGTAGAAATTGAAGCAGATCACTCATTATTGTCTTAGTATTATCATTCTGTATAGTTTAATATTACAGTTGCTATGGGCAAAATGTGGAAATGGGATTCAGAGGCTGAAAGGGGAGCGGTCTAAAAGAAAGTCCATCACTATGAAAAAGTTTGAGAATCCACACACTTTGGCATTATCGCTCTCACACAACAGTCAAACAGACAAATTGTATCATGTAATAGGAGAATGAGTATGATATTTCAGCTACATTAATGCTGATGATTTATTTTTAAACTTTAACAAACAAAAGTAAAGTCAGAATTTTGCTTTACTTGATAAAAAGAGCATAGTGATATAAATCACAGACCTATTCTGAGGATTGAAATAGGTCTGACATGTTTCATTTTTAACGGAGACAGTAAAAGTGCTTTTATATTTAGGACATATGATAGAATCACAAGAATATAGATTCCTGTAAATCACATTCTCTGGATGTATTTTTTTTCTCCATTCTCCACAACACTTACTGCTCCAAATCTCACCAAGCAATAAAATCATAACAGGACATCATCTCTTCTCTGGTGTAAGAGCTAATGTCATTGCATAACTTGGCCAAAAGAGGGCACTTTGGGAACAAGAGATGAAAAGCTCTCTCTAATAACACTTGAGTATTCGTAAAGTCAGCTTCATCACTGGCCAAGAGGCCAGAGTCCTAAATCAGTATATACTAGGTAAACAGACCTACTTATCAACCAAACTGGACTCCTTTTATTCTGCATGTATGTATTTTCTTCTCCGGTCATCTGAAGAAGTGGGCTGTGCCCACGAAAGCTCATGATACCATCTACATGTTTTCTTAGTCTTTAAAGTGCTACTAAGTGTTATTATTTATTTATTACTTTATTTATTACAGTGTTATTTCCTTTTATTTTAAGATACTGGAATGTATTTACAGAATATTAGATTTAGACTAATTGCTACTTTTTATCTCCGTAAAGATTTCATGCGCCCTAATTTCAGATATAGGTACAGTTTACCACTGTTTATAATTTGTGGTCCGATACTGCAAGAATTTATGCACTGCAAATGTGCTTTTCCCAAAGTTAAGTAGCCGAAAGGAAGATGTAGGAAACACAGAAGGAATAAATATACATCCCACAATGAGTGAATCAAGGACATTACATTCATTTATCTTTCTTTAATGTTTTGGTGCTTTAAATCAGTGTTTCTCAAGCTTTTGATACCAAGGACCAACTTGCTGCCTTCCTAAAATGCATCATGCTGATCTCAGGGACTGGGATCATTTCACAGACTGGTAGTTGAGAAACACTGATTTAAATGATACAACCTGAAAACTATGATTAATCAGTAGCAGGACAAGTAAGTAACAAATACACCCAAAGCTATATCTACATACACATGTGCTTTGAAAAACATGTTTGATGTATATACAGTACAATGAAAACAAAAATTTCCCAGACAGAGCTATATCAGAGGATATAGCAGACTATAAGCCTTTTCTTAAAGGAGAGGCAGCAGTTACTTTATGCAGCGGCCATTTGTAAATTTCAAAGGCCACATCAACATTTTAATTATCTCTAGGACATTTTGAACTTTGGTTTAAATATCAGCCATAAGACTGTTCTATAGAGAAATTAACAGTGAAAGAGACAGTGAAAGGAAGTTTCTCTAAGAATACTAGAAATCCCAAATAGCTTGAATAAATAATTTTCAGTTTATGTCTCATTTGCTTTGATCATTCTCTATTTGTTATTCATGTGGTATTGTAGTCACCTAAAATGCATACTATTGTTTCTGCTCTTAGACATGATTATACTTTTTATGCAGAATAGTGAGATAACACAAACTACGAAGTTTCCCTTTGTGGGAATTCATTCAACTTTCAAGAGTCACAAATACCTGACAACTGCTGAGACATACATGAATGACAACACAATGCTCCAAATCACAGCAAAAGAAAGGCAATACTTCTATTTATGAATCAGTTTACTATTTGACCAGCTCTAATCTTCTAACCATTTCTTGTTAACTACTTCTAAGTAGAGGTGACCCTCAAATACCACAAGAGCAAAAAGGTTCTCTGCCTACAATATACACAGAACAGGAAGGTAGTGCAGTTCTCAATGACCCTGTTGTACACAGAAATTAGTGCTTATCTATACCATCAATATTTACATATAAAGTACTTAAAATATTTTCATACACATTGCCCATTATACATAAACACCTGAAAAGTAATCCAAATTCTAGTTCTAGTAGTGACTAACCAAAACAAAATGTAAAGCATAACTTTAGTGACAATGCCCTACTTTGTATACTTCATGTTAACTTATTAAACCTGCATTTTTAAATCTATCCACTCTAATATTTGTGCCATATTGATTATACGTGGAATTATTGCAAGTTACAAGGAAATCCTTTTAGAGAAAAGGGAAAAACATGCTTTATAGCTGCATAGTTTGCCCTATGGTGTTTGCTCTCATAGCTTTTATTTATACAAGAACAATGATATCTCTTTTAACAAGATTACATTTTTACAAAACTGGCAGTCCCCGGGTTACGTACAAGATAGGGACTGTAGGTTTGTTCTTAAGTCGGAACTGGCATCCAGATTCAGCCACTGCTGAAACTGACCAGCGGCTGACTTCAGGAAGCCCGAGGCAGAGTTGCAAGATCTCCCTTTATATAAAAAAACACTTCTGGAAAAAGTGTAGGAAAAAATCTGCTTCTGTTAAAATATCACCTTTTTCTAGTGCTGTACTGCATGATTATCATAATAAATCATAAATAAAAGAAGGCATTAGGGAATTTTTAAACACAATAAGAAGAAAAAGACCTGTATATAATCTAAATAAATCTACTCATAAAAACACTAAAAAAATTAAATGCAGAATGAGACATTGTTTGAAATCTATTAATCTATGTAAACTTCAGTGTTTCCTTTAAAAAGATCAACATATCTAGTATCAAAACAAAAATGGATTAACATTGTATTCCAATTATCTATGTTTTTTGTTACTTCTCAAACACTCAAGAAATCCCTTTGGAAAATTAACTTGAAAGTAAATATGGCTTAAACCTAAACCTAGAACTTGTACTAATCCCAGAACAGAATCAAGATAACTATTAAAATAAAGCCCGGGGCACATTATGATGTCTACGATTGGTGGGTGGATTTTAATTGACTTGATGACTGTCATAGTTCTATTATCATAAAACCTGTAACACATTTCCAGCATGGAGGACCCATCTGTGCCCAACATCCATCTGTTTAGACGTGATTGGCAAAGTGGTAGGGAATTCGCAGTGGTTGCCTTTGCCTGAAAGGGATAAACCACAGGATCTTCCAGCGAGTGCCAAAAACTTCTGAGAAGGTCTGCTGCCATGGCTTTCGGGGCCTCGATCTACAGAAGACAGCCTTATTAGTGAAAGACAGCACTCCCATGGTGCACTTCAGTCAGCTAGAACAATACAGGTTGGCTGGGGATCCATTACTGGACTCTGATGAATTGTGTCCCAGCATCACAAATACAGCTTTTCTTTCATTATGACATTCAGCTGAGATTTAACTTTGGATAGCAGAAACGGAATCTGTTTTGTCAATCAACTAAAGGCAACTTCTGAAGGGGAGGAAATTCTCGGGAGCAATTAAATGCATGTCAACAACACAATAGCAAATGTCTTTTGATCTATGCTTTAGACACAAAAATATAATTTTGCTTCCTTTAGGTAGGCAGAAAAGAAGAATACTCTGTAGCTATTTTATAAAAACAAGTATAAAAATAGTGAACCACTGCTACAGAAGAGAAACAAAGCATGCAAAAACTATTAAGGCTGCCTTTAGTTTCCTTTCACACACAGTTTTAAGCTTTACTAGTTTTTTATATTACTGTATACTTACATTTCTTCACAACAGTTTGACATTTTTTCTATAGTTGTCATATCCTGTTGTAGGAAAGAAAATACTATTAGAAAATATTTTCTCACATTCCTAAATTACAAAAATGTTATATTTAACATATGTAAACAGAGAAGGAACTGGACAGATTCTTTGGGAGAATATCTAGTAGGATTACATAGACCTATACTCCATACTAATATCAACCATTGTAAAATTTTATGCAGAGCAGGTTTACTCAGTCTGACAAACTACAGGCAGTCCCCGAGTTACGCGGATCCGACTTATGTTGGATCCGCAGTTACGAACGGGGCTTTTCTCGCCCCGGAGGACAGGAGAGGCGGGATGCCCAGATGCGCCGCAGTCCGCCGCCCCTGTCCTCTGGGGCG